ATGGATATTCAAATAATTGTTCGTTAGGCGTTGGCATGCGGCTGCTGCAGCATCATCTGCTGCAGCTCGGACGGCATAATGAACTCATCGCATAAAATGCTGATCGAATAGATCCTCAATCGGTCCTGCAACAAATTGCCGGCCATGCAGCGGCCAACAATGGAGTTTGAATAGTTGTTCAGGTCTATGCACAAATTCAAATGTCATTCAAATACTGCTCGCCAGCACAATGACGATGCTAAATGGACGGGCACGCGGCCAGAGCTGGGAGAAGATCGAGCACGAGTAGGAGCAGGAGTAGGAGAATAGGAACCACGGGGCATAAGCAGCCGCAGCCGCAGCAGCAGCAGCAGCAGCAACGCCTGCATCTCATTTCGGCGCAAATCTGTTCGTTGTTGTCATGAAAATACGATTTCAATGGGACAGCGCGCCAATATCCTGGCACAGGATACGAACGAATGATGTTATTATTTTCATGTTTCATCCGGTTTCATGTGCTCGCTGCCCGGTGCGTCGGCGTTGGAGTTCCCTCAAATGACAGACAGCAGGCAGAAGGCAGAGGGCAGAAGGCAGCGTGCAGCGGCTACAAAAACACAAACAAAAGCAAAAGCAACCAAGGCAGCAACTGGCTGAAAATGAAACTCAAACTGGGCCCTGGGTGTAGCCATCGGTCTCGACTTCCTTTTGAGTGCAACCACAACACTAGCCAAAGGCAACTGCCGACCTCATTCACCGTCGCCTGCCTGGTCTTCGGCTAGATCTACGTCTCTAGCGTTGTCGTTGTTTTGCACCGATAAGCGTGACATTTTCATATTGTTGGCGATCGGAATTCGAGTTCCATTCAAGCAACGCTTGGCGATTGAAATCTCCAAGCAGATCCTGGCTGAGCCGAAGCACGCCAATCACTCACTGACCGGATTAGCTGAAGTGAAGTTTTTTATCTTCTTCTAGCCTTCGATTGTCCTGTGCTAATTGGACCGATCCTCACATAGTCTCATTCATTCCAACAAAATGCAAGCCGATGGCCATGAAATCGGAATCCGCTCACGATAGGACGATATCTTCAGATGTATCAATAATCTTTATTTTTTATGAGCGTGCAATTGCCGTAAAATTCTAGCAGACAACCAGGAAAGTCTACCATTTTGTGAAAGATGTTCCTGTTTGCTACATGACTATGCAATATTGGCTGGCATCAAATATGCAACAGGACGTCAACTGAATTCGAATTTTTGATTGACTATCTATTGTGCTAATAGGAGAATATATTCCTTAAACTTGCTCATATATTGATCTAAACCTAAAGAAAATGGGAATTCTGGTAATAGTACTTTCTTAGTTATTTAATGAAAATACATAAAAAGTTGCTAGCTTACATTTACTATATTTGCTTATATCAACAGCATATTAGATTATTGACATAGGAAACATTTGAAATATAAGGAAGTTTCTACTCTCAACTATCGAACACCCACACACAGATGTCCTGGCACATAGAGGGACAATTTTTAACACATTCCTTAGAACATGGAGCAGGAGTTTTTCATGGCTGAAAAATTACTAAAAAGTACCAGAAATTAGTGCATAACTTCATAACTCCAGTTTGGACAGATGTCAGATGGGATCGCAGGCGGCGAACCAGGATTCGACTTAACCCCGCGCTCATTTAAATGTCACTTCTGCAGAAACAAAAACAAATCCCCAAAGGAGCAGGCATAAGAAAATCATTTGTGAGGCAAGAAACTGTGAATGCATATTTGAACTTCACCTCGGGGTCGCCATTGAGACCAGGGTCAGGGCTATAGATCTTGAGCGTGTGCTAAGGGCAGCAGCAGCAGCAGCCAAATGCCATCAAGGGTCACGACGTTGGCGCGCAAGATTTGTGTGTTTCCGGAGCGAGGGTCGGTGTGAGGGTCGGGGTCGGAGTCGGGGTCCTTTAAATTCCTTGCCTGGCTGCCAGCTCCTTGGCGAGCGTAATAGCGTAAACATTTAATGGGAGCGTGCGCTGCGCACGCGCAACATTGCCTCACCCCGAGTCTTGGTCTCAACCTCGGCTCCTATCCTCCCTCGAGCTCGTGGCGTCATTGTTTGATTTCCTTTAGGATTTGTGTATTACTCCTGCGTCTCATGATTGAATACTTTCTTTATACTCGCGTCAATTTATTGTATTTTGACGATTTTTCATATTCATGATCATAATCTTGTGGCATTCTCAATAGAGCATGAACACTACGTAGGGTGTAGTATATAACAAATTTGCGGTTGATAGTTTCGGAAAAATATGCAGCGTGATTGTTCATAATGTTAAGAAAATGTAGTATGTGTAGAATGAATTCCCTTTTATTTATTTTAATTTATTCAACTGATAGATAAAGACAACTGAAGAAGTCTCATAGAAAATTGTCTCCATAAGTATGTGAAACATATGTATTCAATTTATTCATTCAGGCTAAATTGTAGATAATATTATATTTATAATTTAGCAATTTCAATATCCAGGAAATTTATGCTTATAGACGAATAATTTATATTCATATTTTCTTACTCAATACATACAAACAATATGTCTAAAGAAATACAAAAGTATTTTTCATAAAAGTACAATATTTTATTAATAATAATATAAGACAAATTCTACTCATAAAAGTATAATAAAAATTTAATATATGTATATGAATTTCATTATTCATGGATTTTTAACAAGCTTAAATTTTAATTTCAAACGTTTTTAATGATTATACCACTAATGATACTTCCATTTATATTTATCCTAAGAAATGCGTTAGCAATCTAATAAAATCCCGACATATTCAACAAATCAGTCAAACATTTATTCACTTAGTATATATGGAATTCAATAAAGAATCCAAAAGCAAAGCTTTAGCTCTGCTTCAGTCTGTGCATGGAATCAACTGGTGCTACGGCTGCCACACACATGTGGCACACTTAACACCTCCAATTCATAATGAATGAGTTAAGAGCATCAACAAACTAAACATTAACATATAGCTTCGACTACTGCGACTTTGCCTGCGACTACTGCGGCAGCAGCTCTGCCCCTTGTGACGCTTGAAAAATTGCGTGTCAGGGATACGCCCGCATGGCCGGCAGGACATGTGTTAATCAAGTAGCGGCCTCAGCGGCGCATAACTCAACTGCAGTCAGCAGATGCTTGAGTGTATGAATGTGTGTGTGTGTGTGTGTGTGTGTGTGAGCGAGGAAGCGAACGAGTAAACAGCTGCAGCAACTCATGCTCCCAGGTCTACGACAAGGACTAAAAATAGTTGGAGGCAAGGTGCAGAGCGAAGCTGTGATCTGCCCGGGGGGATTTATGTGACAGAATTCTCGTGTTTACGCTTAATTTTCGTTTAATTTTTATGGGCGCCAAGACGAGACGGCTGCCGTCGTATTAAGGGAGCAGCGTTCAATGCCTGGCAAATTTGCCCATTTGTCTTGTCTTGACATCGATCGCTGTATTTACCGATCAAACAGAAAAACGTAACATGATCTAAAAAACCAATAACCATTGCCCAAAGAAAAGGTGACAAACAATCTGAAAAGAAAAAACAAACGTTTGGAATAAAAAGCGCAATTGTTGCGATATGACAATTGAATGCAATCCGGAAATGTCCTGTGCTGCATGGACATAGATAGATCGCCCAAGTGGAAATCTGAGGAACTGAACTCAAATTGAAGAGAGAGAGAGAGAGAGAGAGTGAGAGATGAATTGAGAGAGAGATGCAGAGTTAACTGAGCGAATCAATGCCCACATCGAAAATCTCAACCCCTGTTTCGAGTGAAAACTCAATGCAAGCAGCAGCAGCGGGGAGTTGAATGGAGTTCGAGTTTGAGTATCGAACTCTTGTGTCTGCAACATGCGTAAGTAAGTCCAAAGTTGACCTCTAAGACGACCTCAAAATGTGTCCATGTGAAGCGCGCGCGCGCATGCTGCTCCTTTTGTGCATGCGCCGGTCATTGTTTGACCTTTTCGGATTCTCTGTCTTCTTTTTCCCTTGGCACCCGCTTGCCTTTGTCTTATGCTTGCGTTGTGATCCTGGCCTGTTGTCAATGCCAAAGGGCATTGCAATAAATGTGATAAAGATTGCTTATTGTTTTTTTTTTTTTTTCTTTCTTGATTTTATTTTTCTTCTGCAATTGCTGAGACTCTCTGCCATAAATTGCCCGTAGCCGGCTGGCCGATCGGTTGACCGTTGGCAGTTAGACGACCCCTTGATGTCGCATAGCGTTGAAAAATGCCTTCAATGATACCTTAATTGAGGCAGCTGAAACTTTATATTTCTATTGAACTATCGCAGAAATTGTGGGAGTTTAGCGCGTGTTTCCAGGAGGAGTTTCTGCTGTATGTTCTTTCTTGGCGTTGTGCACATTTTAACTATAGGCATTATTTATAGAAACTATTTTCATAGTCGTTATTTTAGCAAATTAATAAGAATCTTTACTATAATAATATGTACTTTAATTTTACTAGATTGAAATATACAGCTTTTGCAGAATAAAATCAATGGAATAAATTTGTAATCAATAGAAATCTAGCTGGTCAAAAAAGTTCCTATACCTGTTGGTATCAAATGACATAATTCATATTTACATGACCATAAAGTCCATAATGATCCAAAAATTATTTGTTGCTTACAAAATTACTTAATTAATTATTGTAATTTAAAAAATTATATTAGTTATTAATTTATCTAAGCTTAAAGACTTAGCAGCTAAAATATCAAAACTAAATTTGTGGCAAAAATTTAGACCATTTAATTTTAAAATTAAATATATTTTGGCGGTTTATTTTAATAGCTTCGGTCACACTATTTGTGCTAATAAATGCATCATTCATACTATCGATATTATAAACTATCAGAAAGTTCGATATTATCTCGATTCGATAAATTTACTTTTCATCTCTAGGCGACCACTCAGCTGTTCTTGCAGACAAAAATGCAAGACTACGTTTACATATTTAGTTTTAAAAAACACGAAAAATGAGCCAATATAGTAACGTTAAGTACACAACATCTCCAACGCCATCCGTGGTGTCTGGCTATTCGAGTGCATCCCGGCTACATTCGCCGCTGCCCCCGCCAGTTGGATATCGCAAAGATTGCCTCTCGGCGACATCAAAAAGCTACAAATATCTGCGGCGTTTGCTCAAATTCAATCAAATGGACTTTGAATTTGCATTTTGGCAGATGATATACTTGTTTATAGCGCCTCAAAAGGTCTATAGAAACTTCAACTACAGGAAGCAAACCAAATCTCAATTCGCCCGCGATGATCCTGCATTTCTGGTGCTGTTGGTTATTTGTCTCTGTGGTAAGCTGTTTGAAAAAGGAACCACGTACATAAATCTGAAAGCTTAATAGAATATCTCTATTTGGATTTCAGTAACCTCCTTGGGCTTTGCATATGTACTTGGCCTGTCCATTTGGCAAAGTATCTCTTTTATATTCTACGTGGTTTTCGTTGATTGCATATTTGTTGGCATCATAATTGCGTCATTCTTCTGGTTGGTTACAAATCGCTTCTTGCGCACCAATAATCTGGAGCCAGACATTGAATGGGGATACGCGTTCGATGTCCATCTAAATGCCTTCTTTCCACCCCTAATGCTGTTGCACTTCATTCAGTTGTTCTTCTACAATTGGCTGATCAGTCAGACATGGTTCATATCACGATTCCTGGGCAACTCATTTTGGCTAATGGGTATGAGCTACTACGTTTACATCACTTTCCTGGGCTACAACTGTAAGTATATATTGCAGCAGATATATCTCAACTAATCATATTCTTACTCTTTCAGGTATTCCACATTTAAAGAATACGCGCCTCATACTCATCGCATTGCCCATTATCTTTCTCCTTTATATTGTAGTCACAATCATTGGCTGGAACGCAACCATTTCGTTTGTAAATTTTTACAAATATCGCGTGTATTGATCGACTTAGCAACGTGGGTTGTAAATTATTTTGCTTTTTAGCTTCTAGGCGCTCCCCTACGATAATGACTAACTAATACTAACTACTGTAGCATAATCCATGTTAATATATATGCATAAAAGTTCAACTTCCCCATCTTAACAATTGTCTTCTCAATTTTGTTTGTTTTAGGCTCTATTGGTTTACAAGGTAGAATAACAAATGCAGTACTTTGGATGATCTATGCCAGGTGTTTGGGTTTAACAAAGGTACGTTTCCTTTTGTTACGTTTGCGCTGGAGCTCCAAGGTGTGCAATTCGGTGTGAACCTCAGCGAAGATCTCCTTTTGCTCCTCCTCTGGGATGGTGGCGCGGTATTGCTTCATCAAGTCGAATTTTTCCCAAGGCTTCTGTACTTTTTCGGCTGACTTCCGATGCTTGTCCTTTATATATTGCTCAATGTTTGCCACGCCAAGGAGGTTTTGTCGTTCCCATCGTTCTAGCCATGGTCGTGGACGCAGAACTACTTTAATATCGTTGATAGGCACAGGAGCTCCTTCCTCCAAAGGCTCCGCTTCCATGTTTTCATCAAATGTGCTAAACTCAGGCAGTGCATCACGTAAATAGAACAGACTATCGTCGAGACGTTTCTCTAGCCGCAAAACCTCTACTTTCTGTATGGTTGGATCATACAGTTCATAAACCACCTCTATGCCCTGATGGTCGATCACGTTACGAAGAATGAAGCGTGCGCGCAGTCCGCAGCGTTCACGATGTATGCAAATGCCCACAAAGCGACTTGTCTTGCCAGCCGCATGGGGATCGGAGCTAGTAACAGCAAGAATAGATCCCACATAAAACTCAGGTAGCTCAATTTGGCGGCGACGATCGAGCATGTCAAGCCGCTCTAGTTTTTCGCGAATTGCATTGCGCCATTCAATTTTGGGATCTGGCAGAAACTCGGGATAGACAAAACGATAGTGTGCCGGCACAATGGGTTTGCGTACTGATGGTCCCGTCACTTCTTGCTGTTGCGGCACTGCGGCCACGGCAGCCTGCTGTGTCGGTTTAGTGGAAAATGTGACTGAAATTGTAGCATGTTAATACTTGCTTTTAGCAATGAAATATCGTATGTACTCACCAATTCGCTTGAATGCATATTGCTGTGACACACTTTTAGTTAGAATTCTAACGTTAATATTCATTTTAACATAAAAAAATGTTTAGATAATCACGGCTAGAGGTGGATAATGTTTCAACGCATCCACTACTTTTTAATATCGATAAATGGAAATTTTCGTGACTGGAAATCAGAACGATTCCTGTGTGATGAATAATTTCGATTTTCCGCAACCGAAACAACCACCTGTTGAAGTTGTTATTGTTATCGAATCATTTAAAAAATAATCGCCGAAACTGTTTTATTAACATGGTTTTTAAAATAGTATGGACATACAAAGAAAGCAAAGTGACTAAACCTGGTAATTATTTCTCAATTGATATGAATTCTGTAATTTAAATGAATGATGCTTTTGATGATTTAAATAAAATCTACATTTATTATTTTTTTTAATACATCATTGCCTAATCAGTTCAAATAATAAATTCATTTAAAACAACATTTTAAACAAGAATCTCAAAAACAAATGGAATAAACAATGAAACACAGTTGGAACGGTGCTAATCAATAGCATTTGGTCAGTCCTCACTCTTAACAGTCGTGGCGCTTGGAGGTAAGTGAATACGCGCTATTCGAACGATCGCTCGCTTGGTCGTTGGTACCAGCACATCCGGAACACTATTTTCATGAATTCTTTTCACGTGTCTTTTCAGGGCCTGCCCTTGGGTAAATGCATATCCACAAAATTCGCATTTATATGGGCGCTCTCCTGTGTGAACCCGATTGTGTACTAGTAATGCACACCTACGCGCGAAGCCCTTACCACAAGTCTCACAGAAACATTTACTGGCATTGCCATTTCGTCTAAAAATTATGACACACATACAAAAATTTCGTTTTAAAACATTTGAAAATTTACTTACTGAATGTTGTCAATAACTTTTGATTTCCCTTTCATTAGCGGAGAACAATTTTTAGGTAGTACTTTTTTGGATTGCGTTTGTTTGTGTTTTTTCGTCTTCGTTTCACATTTTATGTTCAAGGAATTTAGCTGGACACTTGGCTTTGACTCCAAGTCGTTTAATTCACATTTGACGTCTAGCTCTTCATAAGCGACTGGAGCTAATCCATTTCGTAGTTCACGTTCCAGAGCATTTATACTATTTTCCTTACTTATCGTTCTTTCTTTTTTCCCCTTCTTTTTCCCTACCCTAGTTTTGGGTTCTTCTTTCTTAATACGCCTAGTGACAGGCTTTTTGACCGGATTTTTCGATGTTTCGTGCACCCGAGATAGGTGAGTGGTTAGTTGTGAGCGCAGCCTAAAACCTTTCATACATTGATCACAGTGAAAATTTAAAGTAGGATGATGACGGAGATGTGCCTTCAGAACGTGGTTTTGTATAAAGGTTCTCGGGCATTGAGGACACTGAAACGGACGTTCGCCAGTATGGGTACGAATGTGAACCTTGACATCGTGTCCTCGTATGAAACCTTTACCACAAATCTCACAGAAATGTGTTTTTTCGCCAGTGTGACGCCTGGTTAGCATATAAGAAACTGAAGATTAGCTTTGTCTGCAACTAGTTAGCTGCCAGTCACTCACATCTCGTGCACACTCAAGAGGTAATTCCGGGCAAAACTTTTCTCGCAGAATTGACATTTGTATGGTCTTCCGTATCCGGCTTCGTTTTCGCCTGCCTCTTCGTTTTCATCATCCTCTTCGAGATCGTCTTCCTGGGCAGCGTCTTCATTCCCATTGAGTGGCTCCAGCTTAACACAGCTCAAATTGACCGCTTGCCCATCCTTATCGTAGACTGCCTGCACGCACGGTAATGCAGTATTGTCTCCCTCACATATTTTAATATTTTGCAGAAGCAACAGCTTCCGCTCAGTCTCCTCGAATGTGCGTTTGAATTTATACGCGTTTTGTGCCGCCAGCACACAGGACAAACAAATCTGATGTGGTAGGAAATCATCTGGTTTTACCTCACAGAATTCATTTAAAATTTCACACAGGCTCGGCTGCTCAGTTGATGGTTGTTGCCGCTCTGTAAATATGTCCACCAATGTAACGGAATCGTCCATGCAGACACGGCAGAGGCTGTCCATTTCTTAATGCGGTTTAATATCATACGAGTTTTTGATTAAAAAAACAATACAACAAATTAAAATTCTTATCGTAGAAAATTTGTGTATATGTAAATTCGCATAAACACAAAACTTTATCATATTTCGATGAGAAGTTCGGATTCCGATTTCCGATTTCACCACTTGCAGCCATGCTAACAGCTGATTGCGACCTCACGGTTTCGCTTATAATACGAGCAGCAATGGCAAGTTCAACAGTTTTGTGAGTGGTGTTGTAATTATAGCACTCTCCCATAATAATACTTAATTGACTAATTGTTTCAGACAACGCACTCAAGGCCAAATCTGGAAATTCAATAAGGCGCATTTCATCAAACCACAAACCAAAGTACTTCCCTTGTAACATTAACTAACAAATATGATACACAAATTACCTATCTACGTCAGCGGTGAAATCGTTCGTGGATTTGGTCGTGGCTCCAAGGAGCTAGGTATTCCAACAGGTATGGGCCGCTCTTAATCTCATGTGATCACATAATGCTTCACATTAATGTACGATTTTTATTGATAGCAAACTTTTCACTGGATGTGGTAAAGTCTCTACCCGAATCCCTACAAACTGGAGTTTACTATGGGTGGGCCAAAGTAAATGACAGCGAAGTGTACAAAATGGTACTAAGCGTGGGATGGAATCCTTTCTACAATAACAAGGAAAAGAGTTTAGAAACGCACATTATGCATAAATTCGACTGTGATTTGTATGGCCGCACATTAAAGATCTGCATTGTTGGATATCTGAGACCGGAACAAAACTTCAAGTCTCTAGATGACTTAATCAAGGCTATAAAGTCGGATATAGAAAAAGCAACAACATTACTCGACACGGCAGAAAATCAGAAACTACAACATGCTCCTTTCTTTTCAACGAAACATTAAAACTCCCATTGATTGCGATCGACAAGTTGATTAAATTTTATCATTCAGGTACTTAAAAGACGCAAAGTTCCAAGATTCACGTACTTGATAGAAAATAGAACTTATTTAAAACAAATTTCGATTTTGAGTTAAAAACAATTAGTTCTGTGACGAAGCTTGATTGATTAATTTGCAGCGGCACGTCGGAAAACTTAAGTGGAGGTACTTGACTACTAAATGCCCTATGATAGATAATTTTTGAATATGTGATTAGCCACTTAACAAACTTTAAAACTATTTTATGATTTTACAATGTAAATAGAACTGTTTTAATTAAAATTCAATTTGTGTTAACAATATTTATATCATAAATAACGATTCAATAAATTTCTGTTAAAAAACATTTAAACTGAAACTATCCGTTATTACTGGCACACAGTTCATATGAGACCAATTGGAAATACCGATATTATAGATGTAACAGCTATCGATAGTGTCATCGATCTTAGGCTTATGTCAATGATCGCGGTAAGTTTTTTACGTCTCTGTCGCGAAGATTTATGTGTATAAAACCATTGCATAAATCAACAGGTAAAGCAGATCAAAGTCTTGCATTAGCTAAGCTGGTTAACAATCACTTCATTCCACACTGTGATAAGCAGTTCAACAACATGTTAAGCAGCAACAACGTGTCGACGTCGCAGCAACAAAAACAGCAGCATGTGCGCATTGAGGGTCATGATCAACAGGTGGTGGCCAGCTCGCCTATGCCGTCGGCCGCAACGCTGTCCATTGCTGAAAGTAAGGAATTAACCGGTTTAACGCATGAATGCGGAGTCTTTGGTGCGATCGCCTGTGGCGACTGGCCCACCCAGATAGATATTGCTCATGTGATATGTTTGGGTCTAGTAGCTTTGCAGCATCGTGGACAGGAGTCGGCTGGCATAGCCACAAGTGAGGGAAAGTGCTCCAAGAATTTCAATGTCCATAAGGGCATGGGCATGATCAGTACCCTGTTTAATGACGACTCGATGAAGAAGCTGCGAGGCAACTTGGGCATTGGCCATACACGCTACTCCACTGCTGGTGCTTCGGAGGTGGTCAACTGTCAGCCATTTGTCGTGCACACAGCACATGGCGCCATGGCGCTGGCCCACAACGGTGAGCTGGTCAACAATGAATCTCTGCGCCGCGAAGTGTTGGGTCGCGGTGTCGGCTTGTCCACCCACAGTGATAGTGAATTGATAGCTCAATCTCTTTGCTGTACACCGGAGGGCGTTTCTGAGCATGACGGACCCAACTGGCCGGCACGCATCAGGCACTTTATGATGTTTGCCCCATTGTCCTATTCTCTGGTGATTATGCTGAAGGACAAGATCTATGCCGTACGAGATACGTATGGAAATCGGCCGCTATGCATTGGTAAAATTGTACCCATTAACTCTGGCCATGCGGGCAACAGCACTGTAACTCCAGCTGATGGTTGGGTGGTGTCAAGCGAGAGCTGTGGCTTCTTGTCTATTGGCGCCCGCTATGAGCGTGAAGTAGAGCCGGGTGAAATTGTGGAGCTGACACGTAAGGGCTACCGCACCGTGGACATTGTGGAGCGTCCAGATTTTAAGCGAATGGCTTTTTGTATCTTCGAGTACGTCTACTTCGCCCGAAGCGACAGCATCTTTGAGGGTCAAATGGTGTACTCGGTACGCTTGGAGTGCGGACGTCAGCTGTGGCGCGAGGCCCCAGTTGATGCTGATATTGTGAGCTCAGTGCCAGAGTCGGGGACTGCGGCAGCTCACGGTTATGCCCGGGAGTCCAATCTGGAGTTTGCTGAGGTTCTATGTCGAAACCGCTATGTGGGCCGCACGTTCATTCAACCTTCTACTCGTCTGCGGCAGCTGGGCGTTGCCAAGAAATTCGGAGCACTGTCTGAGAATGTAGCCGGCAAGCGACTGGTACTAATAGACGACTCAATTGTGCGCGGCAATACAATCGGCCCCATTATCAAGCTGCTGCGTGACGCCGGGGCCCTGGAAGTGCACATTCGCATAGCCAGCCCCCCGCTGCAATATCCCTGCTACATGGGCATCAACATACCCACTCGCGAAGAGCTTATCGCCAACAAGTTGAACGCCAAGCAACTGGCCCGTCATGTGGGCGCCGACAGTCTGGCCTACCTGAGTGTAGCTGGCTTGGTCCAGACAGTTCAGCGCAAGCATGTGGCATCTGGCAAGCCAACAGGTCATTGCACTGCCTGCCTAACGGGTGAATATCCTGGAGGATTGCCTGACGAACTAAGCTGGTGAACATTCCCAGTATGAAAAACAACGAAAACTTTGCAGTATAAAGCCAACGAGCGCTCAATATTACTGTCACAAATTATTTAGTTGCACTTTTGCATTTAACGCCTCACATGTGAAGCACGTATCCATTTCAATTTTCTCCATTTTCTATATACATAGTAATTATTAAGATCAAATTATACACCATATACTAAATTAGGAATTACGTATGTAGTAGCTTTTCAGTGAAAAGCACTTTTCCCTACAAATATGACAACTATTGTACAAAAGAAATAGCCATCAATATTGCCACCGAATGGCCAATTATTATACATTGTTACCATTTATTTTTTAGCTTGATAAATTATGAATGCCAATAATAAAAGACATTTAGCACAAGAATATCGACTGCAACTTTATAATTCAATCCAAGGTGCTCTGCAAATTCCACGCATCGGCGCAGATCTAGATCGGCAAAGATGTTGGTGTTAACATTGAAACTCTATATACGATCAAGTATAGCTAATTCCCTTGACTAAACTCAAGACTTCCAATTGCTCATTCAATCAATTAAATAATGCATTTTTTATCATCCGATTATTAAAATTTATAATTTAAATTAGTTTAAAAATATTCCAATATAAATATTAATAAATAATAAATTAAAAAAAGTAATTTAACATAATCAATTTATGACCGTTAGTAATTTTCTAAATTATTCGATATATTTCCGATAGCACAAAGCAGTGCTGAAAAACGTCTGTTAAAACTATTGATAGCGATACAACTAAATAATTGCAGCCCTGCAAAAATTGTCGTCTCATCCCCCTTTTACTATGACGGAAAACACAAATTACTGACGTTTTCATTAATTTATAACATAAAAACGTGTCGGTCTCTGCACAATTCGTGCCTAATACATTTTAAAGGAGGTTTCACAGCGAACCGCACGCAAATGGATTTTCTGCAGACTCCTGCCGGTACGCTAATTTCGTTGCTCTCGTTGCTGCTGCTGCTGAGCACCTGCTCTGGGCTGTACGAGGACCAGATTAAAAAATTCGACTGGCAAGTGACACAAATATTGAACATTGACCATTTACTAAGATTTAGCCCATAAACAGGAGAAGCGTGCATGTGGGCAGTCTAAAGCATGCTTACGTGGATCTTAACCACTTTCAGCCGCGTGTGCTACTGAGTACACACGAGCAAGTGATTGGATCATTATGCCCAAAGACCGGTGAAATTATCTGGCGACAGGTGCTAGAGAAAAAGCCGCGCGGTGATATAAAACTGCTACAGGTAAGCGGTTTCGCTGACGACAGCAGTGACACGGCGGCTGCCCCCATGGGCTCGCATTTGGGCTTTGACATGATGACCGTGCAGGGCCATGCACCAGCGCTTGTGCGAGGCTGGAATACGAATATTGGCACAATCGAATGGGAATGGTCCATAATGCCGTTGAATACAGAGAGGGCACAGGACGCCGTCTGGTTCTACAGTAATTCTATACTGTATCATGTGGTGCCTGCATGGCGTAGTCATATTGAAGTCACCTCATACTTTGCAACGTCCGGACACACAACAGGCAGCACAAGCAAGATAATGGCTGCTTGGATAAATCCAGAGAGTTGTTTGCTCAGTGGCTCGTTTTATGTTTGCCTGGATGGCAAGCAGCTCATCAGCTTGGACTTAGTAGCCAAGAGCACGCAGGTGATAGCCACATCTCTTTCAGCTGAACCGAGAAGCAAAATCCATGATTTACCGGTAAGTTTTATTAAATAGAAGAAATCTGGATTATCTAAAACAATATAATTGCAGGGACTAAGTGGTGTGTTGATTGTCGATAAAAAACTCGTCAGCGTTAACAAGGACCAGGCTGTGTGTCCAGATCTTTCAAGCGATAGCTATATTGTCGGCAGCTTTAACAGCCGCAAAGTTATTGCCTATGCCGATTTGATAAATAACGTAAGTAAAATTAAAAAAAAATGATTAAATTAATTACAAGTTTTTTATAAATTGGGGTTTTGTATTTTTAGATGCTTAATATTAATGCCGTTTATTTGGAGGACTGCAGTCCCGTGCCCGAACTGCATTTAAGTGTAGCATTTGCTGAGCACTATGGAGCTCCTACTCTTCGATCATTTGACTGTAAATCGAAGCGCAATAGCGATGGAAAAAATTGTCTGTTTCTGCTTTCCACCAGCGCCGAGTCCATTGTTGCTGTACAACAAGGTCGCGTACGTTGGACGCGTGAGGAATCCTTGGCGAATGTTATTGATACGCAGTTCCTAGACTTACCCTTAGCGGATACGGAAGGCACGCTGGAAAATGAAATGAAGGGCAAAGCAGGTAAGCTTCTAGTCTTTCCCTATTATTCAACAAAATGCGATTCATATGTTTTATTAATGCTTGCCAAAGTGGATTCAAACAGTTTAAAGCGTAAGTTGCTCATGCATCAACTATGTTTCACATTACTAGAAAGCACATTCAAGTATCTGTAGTCTTGGGAATATTTCAAACTATGATCTAGCTAAAGTTATTTTCTTGATACCCTAGGTGACATTGCCACTGCTTTTATGCGTCGCATTACCACGCAAGCGCTACAAATTAAGAGCCTATTCTTGCATGTCATTGGGCTGGGGCCCCCACCAACGGCTACGCAACGTGCTGGACTTGTCCGCGATTCCTTTGGACTGCATAAGATGCTGGTATTGCTGACTCGCTCAGGCAAAATCTTTGGCATTGACAATATTGCCGGCAAACATCATTGGAAACTCTATTTACCCAACGTGGCGGGCTTCGAAAATTCCGAGCAGATGCGTCTGATTGTGCAGCGAAGCTCCAAGCACTTTCCCCTGCAGCCTCTATGTGCTATTGTAGCTAAATCTGCAGTGAGTTTAAATAAGCTGAGTACATTTTTTGAGAAACACATTGATCGTAACCTCTTTTCAGGAAAATGGCAATGGTGTATTGTTTCGCTTTAATCCCATCACAGGACAGGCTTCCGAGGGCGGACTGCTCCAACTGAACTATAAAATCAAGCAGTTGGCACTGCTACCCGAAACAGAGGAAGATTATGTTAAAGGCATTCTAATATTGGATGGCGCCAATAAAGTTCATGTGGAGCCTAAACATGCAACGCCATTGGTAAATACAAATATGTAATGCACTGAATGTGACTTGACCCGCATTCATCTTAATCATTGCAGGCCCATGGTATGTATTTGTACACGGCCGATTTAAAAACTGCTGAACTCGAAGGCTACTATGTGAAATATGCGGGCGGTGTAAGTAAACAACAACAACAACAAATAATTGCTGGCGTGTTAGATACTCATTAACGTCTATTTCTCTAGGAGCTGTCAGCTTTACCCATTTGGAATGTTCGTCTGGGCGGTCATAATTCAGAACAACAAATCATTAGCGTTGCTAGCAAAAATCCTATTGAGCACGTGCACTCCCAGGGTCGTGTACTGGGTGATCGTTCAGTACTCTATAAGTACATTAATCCTAACCTAGTTGCCTTCGTTACACAGGCTCCAGATGCCACTCACAAATGTAGGTTAGCTTAAGCGAAAAAGTACTCAGTTCTAATTATTTTTCTTTAAATGCAGCTGTGCTCAATTTGTATTTAATTGATGTTGTGTCCGGATCGGTCATCTTCTCAATGACGCATCGTAAGGTGCGCGCTCCGCTGCACATTGTGCACTCCGAGAACTGGCTAGCCTACTCTTACTTCAACGACAAAGTGCGACGCACTGAAATCAGTAAGCAATACTAAGGCGAGGTGATTGGCATATGCTTATTGAATATATTGTTTTTTTACAACAGCTACTATTGAACTATATGAGGGTAGTGCGCAGGCAAACAACAGCGTTTGGAGTTCCTTGCAGGCGCCGTCCATGCCGCTCGTGGAGCGTCAGTCTTATATCATACCCACAATTGTGGAAGCCATGCGCGAGACAATCACCGAACGTGGCATCACCAACAAGCATGTCCTAAGTAAGATTACATTTGATATAATTATCCTGATCAGAATATTTCATTCAATTCTCCTTTATTTACTCATATAGTTGGCACTGCTAGTGGTGGCATTGTAGAAATGCCCTGGCATTTGCTGGATCCACGTCGTCCAATATCATCCACAACTCAGGGACGTGAAGAAGGTGCCATTCCCTATATACCTGAGCTGCCTTTGCCAACTGAGAATTACATAAACTATAATCAAACAGTTGCACGTTTGCGTAATATCTATACCGCTCCCAGCGGCTTAGAGAGTACCTGTCTAGTCGTAGCCACGGGCTTAGATATATTTGTTACGCGTGTTGCGCCTTCAAAAACGTTTGATTTGCTGAAGGAGGATTTCGACTATATATTAATTTCGATTGTACTGGTCGTTCTAACTTCGGGTTCTTTGATCGTTAGGCATTTAGCGTCTCGTAAGCTGCTCAAACAGGCGTGGAAATAAAAGTGGCCCTAATATGAATATGTAATTGCTTTATATAAATTGTACTACGACCAAAAATAATAACAAGAAGAAATGTGGAGTAGACGGCAGAGAACAAATTGTAGTAGCTGCATTTTACCTAATAATGCAATTGATAACAATTTTTTTCTCTAAGCTTAGGCAATTATTTATAATTAAATATATATAGCGTACAAACAAGTAATTAGCTGTTGAAAAAAGTTCACATTGCATTTTTGTTTCGTTTTGTGTTTACTTTCCATAGTTCAAAATATCAGCATTGAAATTGTGTTTTTCAAATTAGTCAATAAAAAAACATTTGTAAGGACAATGGTAAATTAATGAGTTTTATTTACACTATAACGCCAAAATAATTACAGTAAGCACATGTGAAAGATAATCAAGTGCAATAATAATTAATTGAAGTAAAAACTGATTTGATTTTCATAGATGTCCATTTGTGCATCTGTAATTAAAACCCCATTTGAATTAATCTTTCTAAATGAACTCTGAATATCTTAATAAGAGTAATTTCAGGTCATATTAATACCTAATTACCTATGTATGCCGAAAAACGTTTTTTTGTTTTTGTTTTAAATTTGGCGCATATTAAATAAAAATTTCAGTGCTGCCAACCGTTTTTTTGGGCCGCTTTTCAACACAGATGTCGCAAAACAGCTGATTATGGTCTTCCTCTTCCAGCCTCACCGTGCGCTCAGACAAAAATAATGTCGCTGCGTGTTTTAAGCTTAAACTTATTAAAAAATAACAGAAATTTCCTTCAGAATGCTGTTAGAAACAGTAAAGGACCCGGTGTCCAAGCGGTAGGCTAATACTTCCCATAAAATTTACATCATCAATTTAGGTTGAATCAACAACTCACTTTTTCGTTTGCATAACATTTCAGCTAGCGGTGGCGCCGTACGCCACACAGGTGACTGTCCAGGCCACACCGGCTGCTGTCCAAAAGCAAAAGGTGAGCAAAGCCATGAAAGCCTATCTGGAGCGGGCTAACGAGCACGACGAGTTTATGAAAACTCAAGACTTGGAGTTTCAAATTGGAAAACGGCATTTGGCAAATATGATGGGCGCTGATGCAGAAACCTTTACACAAGAAGACATTGATGTGAGTATATCAATTACCAGATGAGTTGCAGCAAATAACAAAATATCGCTTTCAGGAAGCCATCGCGTATCTCTTTCCCTCCGGTCTGTTTGATAAGCGTGCTCGCCCCGCCATGCGATCGCCTGAAGAAGTGTTTCCAGCACGTAAGGCAGCCGAGTTCGATGAGACGGGTCGTCCCTTTCACAGCATGTTCTACACGGGCAAGCCGAACTTTTTCCAGCTGCTACACGTATGTTTTAGTTCGTTTATCATAAAAATGTGCTAACCTCAGGCGTTACTCTTTTATAGGACATTGTGGAGGAAACGAACAAGCTATATGACCTTGAAGAGCGCATGCTGAGGCGTGGAAACAAGCCAGATGAAAACCAAAAGCTGTATGTTAATAATTTATGCTTGCATAATACATAAAACTCACGTAAACCTTACTTTTGAAGCGAAACGACTGGCTTTCAAATACTGCCGAAGGATCAACTGGAGCGAGTGCTTGTCGAACACATTGCGGACCTTGAATACCAGAACTTTACCAATGCCATGGATCGTTTAATTTCCTTGCCATATTCGTATAAAAGCAAAGCATTTATTGAGCGCTATCTAAAACCCCTGATTGATCAATCAAAGCAACTGGAGGTGCCCAAGCCAAAGATCGATGACCAGGGCCGCCAGTACATAACGACCTATGAGTGCCTGCGTAAAACGGCGCGTGCCGACGTCACTGTCCGTCTGCCCGGCACAGGAAAGATAACTATCAATGGCCAGGATATCTCGTACTTCAGTAGTGAAGAGTGCAGGGAACAGGTGAGTCCAATTTTTAATTATAATATTTGAAACCGTAGAAAATCTTTTTCTTAGAGTCAAATAATCATATTAGTCAAGAGAGCTCGAAGCTAATTCGGTTAATAATTTATATGTGACAGCTGTAATATAGTCTGTCCTTTCATAGAAACAAACCAGAATTTAGTCCGAGAGATATTTAAAACAATAGATATATAGATAGTTTATTATTCATTTTATAAAATATATAACTTTCAGAATTATTATTCATTATTTAAACGCTCTTCTTACGACAACGCCAAACAATAAAGACACAGCCTAAAACCAGACACAGACAAAAACAAACCTGCCAGCTTCTCACCTCTAAGACCTATCAACTAGTTTTTATTTATATATCTGCATATGTATATATATTGTAGGGTAAATACATACATAGTATAGTGTAGAGCTAAATAGCATTATTAGGTAGAGCGTTAGACGCTGCGGTAATCAATACGCTAACTACAATATAATATCAACAATTTTCGGGCTCTTGGGCGCAATGGTTAACACACTCAAGAGGTGTCTACGGCTAAGGATTTTATGATTCGTATGTTTATAAAAGATAATAATAATAGCAATAATAGTAAATGGCATTATGCAGCAGTTATTTACGCAGTTGCTGTTTCTGTTGGTTGGAGATGACGATCAGCAGCTTGTCAATCACCTTGCTGGCCTGCTGCTGCTGCGATATGAGCACCTGCTTCAACTCTTGAATCTCCTGCGTGAGAAACTCAATGCGATCCGCATTGTCGTCAATTTTACTGGTCAGCGCTGTTAGTTGTGTGGACTCCGGATCAGGATCGGGCAACACGTATGCTGTGTTCACACAGCCGCTGTTGTTGTACTTGTTTTTGTACGATAGATAGTTTTCGGCCGGATTTTTCGAGGAGATTGTGTAACCAAAGTGCTTACGCATTTTGCCCACCTCGTAGGCCTTCATAAGTATGTCGCGCGGCAAACGCTTTTCGCTGGGATTCAAGGGCTTCACGCACAGCACCACGCGGTAGGCCTGCGGCGAGACGAGCGCCGTGTAGTGGAGCAGATTTCGCAGCCATGTGGGCAAATAGCCATTAAACAATGCCGACTCAATGTAGCTAATGAGCTTCGTTTGTCGCACTAGTTTCGAGAGTCCGGCTGTCTTCTTGAGCCCTTGTATGTCGTGCACCGCAATGCCCACCAGCAAATTCATCAGAATGATCGTCACGAACAGCAGAAAGAGCACGAACGTAATCTGAGCGCTGACCTCCAGCAGAAAGGGCGGATCCTTGCCGTCCGGATCGTTGATTAATAGCGACAGATCTTGTTCCCCAATCATCATCACCAGCACCGTGATGAATCCCATAAACGGGTTGGCGAATGACGACGACGATGGAAAGATAACGCAAAAACTAATTGTGAATCCAATCAGCATGCACGAATAGGCCATGAATAGCTTGGCGAACTCGCCCTGCACCCGCGTATACATGGCCACGTAGACATCGAACACGGGCAGCTGCCCAATCATCAGCATCAAATTGGTCCAGCCGAGCAGCACGGCAAACGCGCCAATGTGGTTCTGGAACGTGTACGTCTGCTTCGTGTAAATGTACGAGATGACGAAGACGCTGGTGATGACAAACCACTCCATAATGTTCTCCACTTGCGTCACGTAGTGTCGAAACGAGGAGTAGCCGGTAATCCCGTAGAGCTTTCGAAATATCTCCACTATTGTGATCGCCACGAGCACCCACCACTGCATTTCCATGACAAAGGGATTATTGCGCAGCATATCGCCCAGTATGGACTGCTTCTGGCAGAGCTCCTGCGCCTGTATCGTCGTGTTGTCGTCCTTGCTGCCGTTGTAGCAGTTGTGCGCCAGTGCAGTCAGCACATAGAGCGTCAAGAAGAGCACAAAGCTGAAGCAGAAGATCAGGCGGCCGATGTAGTACTTTCGTATTTTGCCCCACTTGATGTACAGAAAGGAGGAGCATAGCGGATGCTCCAGTATCTCCTTTTGCCCCTCATCCACGAATGTGTTCAAGTAGCTAATTTCACGTGGATGGCAATGCTGCAGCAGCTGGCGAAAGTCCAGCTCCAGCTCCACCTCACGATTGACGGGATCCTGTTCAAGCACAAGAACAGATAAATGATTAGCAGTTGAGACCTTCCATTGTGAATCGACTCACCTGTGAGTGATGCAGGGTAATGGCCGCATCAAGCTTCTGACGAATCATAGCCACCGAGGCGGGGGTCTTCCGTGTAATGACGTTTAAAGCAGATGTGCCCTTCTTGGATTTCGTTGTGACATCGGCGCCATGGTAAATGAGCATCTCGACGCACTGGACGAGTCCGTCGAGGGCGGCCAAGTGGAGAGCGGTGAAGCCATAGATATCCTTGTGGTTGACATTGGCGCCCCACTGTATGAGTGTCTCCATGATATCATAGGCATTCTCGGACTTGCCAACGGCCGCATGCAGCGGCGTCCTATGGTCAAAGTCCTCAGCGTTTGCGTCCGCATTGCCATTGCGCAGCAGCGACTCCACGCACTCCAAGCTGGAAGTTCGCGCTGCCAGATGGAGTGGGGTGAAGCCGCGATGGTTTTTTAGCTTGGCATCAGCCCCCTTGGAGAGCAACAGATCGACGCACTCCACGTTGCCCTCATCGGCAGCCAGATGCAGAGCGGTCGACTCCTTTTCGCGAATGCAGATGCGCACATTGGCGTCGGCATTGGGTGCATTCAGCAGCGCCTCCAAGCACTGCAGGTGGCCCAGATCAGCGGCCAGGTGTATGGCGTTGGTGCCATTGGGCTTCAGCGAATTGACGTCGGCTCCCTCGCCAATGAACAGCTGCAAGCACTCAAGGGCATTGGAGCGAACGGCGCAGTGGAGCAGGCTCTCCTCGCAGTTGGGCTTGTTGGTGTCTTTGGTGATGAGGGCTCCGCTGTTGATGAGGAACTTGGCTGCCTCAACGGCATTGCCGAACGCGGCGCAGTGCAGCGGCGTGTAGCACTTGGGCTGCAGGTTGACATTGATGCCCTTGGCCACCAGCAGATTCAGCGTGGCCAGGCATCCGCTGAATGCGCTCAAATGCAATGCTGAAATACCGTTCTGGTCGTAAAAGTGCAGATCGGCGCCAGCCTTTAAGAGGCCCTCGAGCAGATCCCAGCGCTTGAGAAATGCCGCCCACAAATAACACAGATTCTTCTCGATCTTGGAAGCTGTTTCGAAATGTGCGCCGATACTCTCGGCCACCACATTACCCTGCTCGATGTCCTCAAACAAACGCACCCGGCCAGCGGCACTCTTCATCTGGTCGATGAGACTAATCCTCAGCGTGTCATTGCAGATCTGCACGCTCAGCTCGCTAGTTGGCTCCTCGAAGCTATCGTACATGCTCGGCGCACTCTCCGCCGGCGGCGATGGTCCACACTCCATGTATTCAAATTCACCAGTTGTCGGATACTGAGCTTCGATCATGGCGTCAGTGTTATTGCGCCATCGCACCATTAGATTGGGTGGAATCGATTTGAAACTATTTCAAGTACAATAAGAACAGTTCATTAATAGTTGTTGTTGTTGTTTTTGCTTTTCTTGTTGTTTTTTTATCCATCTATTGACTGAGACTAATGCAATTTGCAAATCATTCACAGTCTAACTTCTTGAGTCAGACGAAAGCATTTACGAATTTAATTATAGAGAATGATGTGGATCTGATTTGAATTGGGTATTTTGTGCTTCCCATCCTCATAAGATAGAAAATAGCTAATCCTTATTCCTGTTTATTGAGATACTCTACTCTTTGATATTTTTGATAAATTCAGAGAAAGGTCTAGTACAGAAATTACAATACATGAACTTTTTCGAGAAAGAACTTGGAGGTCGTTAATGAGCTTTAACCCATACTATCAATATGAAATAATGAAATAATGAAAAATTTAATTTTAACACTACTTTTAAAACCAAACAAATGCAAAAGGACTTTTCAATTTTCGCTGAATTCAGTTGTAATTTAACAATTTATTTTCTTTAAATAGGTCTTATCATATTTGTGCATCTCTCGATTTGTTCTTTCAAGTATATCGTATACATATATATGTAAGTTTTGGTATGAATATTAAACAGAGAAAGTCTGACTACAGTTAAGTGCAAGCCAGCCTTGAAAGCCCCAACTTGATTTTATTCACAATTTGAATATATATTTATTTGTATTTTATCAACTGTTTGAGAATTGAATTAGTTTATCTGCAAGCGTATTGAGGTTTCGTTATCATGCTCAGGTTTCTGAAATTCGTTTGTCTTTATTTGCTTAGACATTTTTCACATATTTGCTTTTGCTTTTATTATTATTGTTTCGAATGACACTGAATGTGCGGCCGCTGCACGTTCGCTGGCTGTGAGGCATGCACAATGGAGGAGAAGCGGTTTGTCAGCATAATATGTTAAGTTATGCAAAGAGCGGAGTTAGCATATGCTATACGATTTATACTTGTAAGATTTTGCTGTATTTATATCTGTATAATTAATGCACTATGTTGAATGTTTTCCACGTTTGCCAGGAGCTGCAGCAGCACAGCTGCAGCAATTGCCGCCGGTTTAGACTGTTGCGATTTATCGCAATTCCAATTGCAGTTGCAGTTGCTGTTGCTGTTGCTGTTGCTGTTGCTGTTGCTGTTGATAATTTCTAATGCGGTTTTGCATAATTTCAGTTAGCAATCACATTGAATCCAGGGACGTATATGCTAGGTCCGTCATTGTTCTGCACTTAGCTGCTTATGTGTGAGAGTGTGTGTAGGTGTACTCATGTGTGTGCGAGTGTGTTTGTGTGTGTGTGTGTGTACGTACACCGTTCGCAGCCATGTCCACGGATGATGCCAATTCGCTAGTGAACTATTTTCAATTTCTAATTTCATTTCCAAAATGCGATCGCGCGGTTACACACACACAGGAGAGCCCGGGCTGTCCACTGACTGAGTGACCCATCTACAGACCGATCCGATAGACGGGCAGACAATAAGACAGGCAGAGACGGGCCAAGTGGCTAACAATGGTTGCCTTTTGTGCCGCTTGTATAATTTGTGTCTAACGGGCGGAAAAATGCAAAAATGTTGTGTGAAAACGCGAATTTTTCACTTCCGTTTCGTTGGCGCTTTTGTTGTTGTTGTTGCTGTTGTTGTTGCTCTAGCTGTTGTTTTTATTATGACTGACGAACTACGAACTGCGAACGCGCTTTTTTCGAATATGTTGATTTGGTTTTTTTTTTTAGCCAGCGACTAAAACGCGACCGCCTGCATTGTTGTTTCAATTCCGACTGATGAAAAGCGTTAAGCGCCGCTCAGTGCCAGCCAGTCGATCGGGCTTGAAATGCCAAATACACACACGCACACACATACACACTTCACATTGGTGAGAGAGTGAGTAAAGAGCTGCGAGAGCGATTGCCAAAAAAGCAAAAACAAAAAATACACACCAAAACTAGCTTCCACGAAAGAGCGAGAGAGACGAGCGGGAGTGGGAGTTGGACTGGGCTGGAGTGACTGAGACAGCAGCGCGAAGACTGGAATGTTACACAGTCTGCGACAGCGGCTGGCACCATAGCAATTGAATGAGTTATGGAAGAGACTAAAAGAAAACCTAGCAGGTGGGATTTGTTTGACCAATCAATGCTCTACGCTGCAATTCGCACTTGTTTCGTTTAATCATGTGTAAGAAACGCCTTGAGCCTTTATATAATGCTAAACACAAACAAAAACAACATTGATTATGCAAACTTTAAGTTGGGGCCAACTTCGAGTGGTACCTTTGACAATTGATGCTAATTGAATTTATTTTACCAATTTTAAGATCGCTGCGCAATCGCAATTCTAATGTGATCTATGTGATTTTCACGAGTTCGCAAGCGTGGGAATAATGCAGATGTTGAGCTAGAGAGCTGTTTGTTGTCATCGTTGGATGGTTGAATTCTTCTCGAACCTGCATCGGCTAACTTTAAACTCGTACACTTATCGTCATTGTGCTGGCCGCGCCCAAAACTGATCCTAAATCATGTTTGTTTTTGTTTCCTTGACTCTCACTTTTGATTTGGGGGTTTTATTTTATGAGGGGCGTTTTGGGTAAAAATAAGTGAATGAGCTAAAGCCTGGCCTCTGGCCACAACTGGCACTTACCGGTTATTCGCATTATTTTCATTGAGCGGCTGCTCCACTTCGGTCTTGGTTACGACGCTGATGGAACGTGTCATACGACGCGGCTTCGTGCTGCCCTCCTTGTAGCCCAGATTCTCCATGGCGACCACGAAAGCAACGAACAGACCTTGCCAGCTGGCTTCTCTCGTTCCACTTGCAGTTGGAGTTGTTGCTGTTGCTGTTGTTGTTGTTGTTGTTTGCAAATATGCGCAGATATTCAAAAACCCAAGCGTCTGGCTTGCTGCACTTGTCAACCAACCGAAAACTTTCCAATATCAGCAGCAACAATTTATAGACCAGTTTCTTGATATCGGACACTGGCTGATATTGGATTTTGATTGAGCTCTTGTTTGGATTCGATTCAGCTGTCAGCTGCAATAAAACAATAAGCGGAGATTGTTTGAGTCTTAGCTGAGATTTATTTGCACCTTGATTTGTGTGTGATCCAATGCGAAATTGGATCGCTATTAATTCGCGTTTACTTTCGTTGCCAGCCCAAACGCATAATCTGCACAAACGCTAGTCAAATATTAACTCTGGCGTCGCTTTGTGCTGCTTCTGACTTTCCCTGCGATCGTGTTCCTTATGGACTCGTTATAGATTTCTGCGCACCCCGAATGCGACAATCTCGGCGGGGACTTATCTAAGCATTCATCTCGTTTGACGCAGCGATAAGGCCGACCATATAAACAGAATCATCAGCAACAAAGCAACTTTTGGTTTTTATTGTTATCGGGTTGAGATTTATCAGTTGGCGCTACTGTTTATATGAACCAAACGGAGCAGGGGCGGGGTTTCTCATAGGGTCTAGTTCAATGTCTAGTGGAAGCTTTTAGATTTTTAACAGAATATTTGAGATAGGAAAATCAGCTGTTGAGTAAGCTTGAACTTTTTCGGCCTAGACTCTGCTTTAGCTCATCTATGAGTCCTCCATAGCTGGCGACTAAAATATTTATGCTTTTAACTTAGATTTCTCAAGAGACTTGAGAGACTTGATATCCAGAATATATATATCTCATACGGTACAGTGCTTTAGGGCTCGGCTTGCAGTAACTATTAACTAAAGCTTATACCAAATCATGTATGGAGAGTTTCTCTAGCCTCTCTAAAAATCTCCATAATACAAGTTCTCTAATCGCATATCTCCCTTCGTATTGTGTACTCTACGAAATGTTTGCTTCTCCGTTTATTTCTATCCTCATTTTGTTTGCTCACATTATTTACAATTTATGTCAACGTTCATTTTTTGAGTAAATTCCATTAAATATTCGGCAGTGCTTCAGGTATGACTCGTGTGATCTCCAGCTCAAGTCTATATATAGCGAAACAGTAAATTCAAATTTAACTACTTTTGAAAAGGGAAACTTGGCTTAAGCACCTGAAGTGTGAAGGAACTAGGTCTATTTAGGCACGCCTAAGTAAAGCTCATTTAGTTTTTATTTAGACATGTCCATTGTGCGGTGATTTATTCTATTCTATTTAATTTATTTGCTTGTTTAATAGCACTTGCAGCTCTCAGCTCGCTGCCCATTGCGCAATTTAATCGTCGCCGATGTAAAAACATTTCAAAGAGAATTACGTGAAACCGTTTAATGAGTTTTCGCATTGTAATTGCAAGGAAAAAACAGTTAAAAGTCAGTAATTTGAATATAACACTGTTTTCAGTTGTTTAACCAATTATATTCTAAATTATTATACCATCTTTTTGAAACATTTCTGTGAATTTCAAACCTGTTTAATACTGAACAAATCCAGCCTGGAAACAAGTCATAAAACAAACTTTCTTCATTCGCACCGAGTGGAACAAATGAGCTGAGTTATTGGCGAATTTGGTGGTCAATCAGATAACGGAACGTAAAAAACATCTTAAATGATTATGCGCACACATTAATGAAGTTCTCTGAACGAGAGGCCATAGATGAAGTAGAAAAACCTGTTTGCGGTTCTCAGGCTTAAATTCCATTAGCCAGTTGAAAGTTTTTTGCGCCAACAAATAATTTTGGTTTACAACATGACGAGTTATAAATCGAGGTATTTCTTGTAATAGTAAAATTCTGAAAAAGGGTTTCTTGCAATTCCTATATGTATAAATTCTTTTGTATATTGTGCACATGCTTCATTAAGAAGAGAGCGAACTGAACGTTTTGAACCGAGCCGGAAGCGCCATTTGTAATTTACCGTTTAGCTGCAACGATGCAACGTCATTTTGAAAACTGCGCCGCCCCCAGAGCAACCCTGCGAACATTTCGCGTCGTTTCTTTTGATAGTAGATTACTCGTTCCTTTATTTGAATCGGCTCGGCTCGGTTCGGCTTCGTTCGTTCCGTTCGGCTCGCGTTGATTCAATTATAATTGAGACTAATTTGAATTTGTGCGATTGAAAGCCTTTGAGGCGCGGGAGACGCTACGGCGCTACGAAGAGCAAGTTGTTGTGCCCATTGGAAAGGCGTAGCGGTTGCGAGATGAGCTGTATTTTTGCATTGCTGTCAGAGTGCCCTTGAACCTGAGGCGCCCCGCTGCCCCCAAGTTGTGCACTCAAATGCGTTGATGTAATTGAATATCTCCAAATTAAAGGATAATACAACTGATGATTGCAACACAAAACTGTAAGATTATATTGAAGCGAGATAAAGACAACGATTTTCGTATGAGTGAAATTCACTGACATCCACTTTCATTAGCGAATCTTCATAACAGCACTCAATTAGTTGACGATAAACAATTCCTTAGTTTCTCGAAGTAGTGAGTGAAGCGCGGATATACAAAATATTAAACAAGTCTCTTTGAGCTAGGAATATTGCTAACGTAAATTACCAAAAGAGGAAATGATACAGTTTTTCAGTACGATTCCGAAATTTGTTCACGTTTTAATTAATTTACTGATTTGCCTTAAAAGTGGCTTGGCCAAGGCCGTTCGACTTGCAAAAGGCGCAACATTTTCTATTTTCCAATGGTATAAACAACACTGAAGATCCGGTGTTCGTTTTCGCGATATATAATAATTTTTCCGCGACTTGAGGCGCGACTTGAGCAGCGAGAATTGACTGATAAAAAGAACTGCGCCGAAATGATAATGCGGACCAAGACAAGTTTCGTTTTAGATGCGAATGTGGGAGGTGGTTGAGCATATCCAACTTGAGACAAGTGAGCGCGCGCCAATGAGGCTGAATGTACATTTAGTATATATACTATATTTATATACATATACATATGCTGTCAACAGTATCATCATCATCATTGTCATCATGTCAGATAGTTACACATACACGCGCTATGTACAGCGCTCATTGTTGGGGAAAAAGCGCAAAGCGAGGAGCTTTTCGAACCCTCCAGAGAATCAGCTATAAAATTCATTTAAATCATAATAAAATGTGACGCGAGATTTCTTTAAGCGCCGGTTCAAAGTGTCTTCTATGCCGGCTGGCCAGTATTTTCATTCTCTTCAAATATTTACATAGACTTATTGTTTTTAGTTTTTTTTTTTTTTGGGGAACCTGTTTATTATGAGGTTGTCTCTGTCTCTGTTTTCGCTGAGTAGTTTGATATTTTGGAACTTACTTTAATTGACAGTATAATTAATTTAAAAATCTTTTGCGCAATTGCTGCTAAAGCGGATTATTTGTTGCTGCGTGAAGTCATCTGACAAATTGTTTAAACAAATTAAAGATACACAAACAAATCAAAATAAATTTTTTTAAGTCTTCAATGATTGATTGTGTTTGTTTTGTTGTTGGGTTTTTTCTTTTTTTTTTCGCGTTCTTTTTTTATTTATTTCTTTGTCCGCTTTTGCCAAAATTGTGATCTCTGCTTTGTTTATGTCTTTTATTATGTATTTTTATTGTTTATTCGTTTTTAATCATAACGTTTATTGTCTGTGTGCTGTAGACCATATGGATTTTTTGTGGACGCTATCCAAGCTCGTTGACTTTGCTTTCCCACGCATTCATAAAATTGTCAAAAAGTAAAAAAGAGGTTAACATTATATAAATGTATTTAGATATTGGGAACAGCCCCTGCATGTGGATTTTGATTCGTACGTCAGACTGTTTTAATTTGCATATTTATATACCATCTATTAGTTGTTAATAGATCTGTACTATGAAATTATTATTATTTTAATTGAGTTTGTCAAATATTCATAATGTGCTTATGCGGTAGCTAATTGCTTCCTCTAATAAATAATTTATAACACGTTTGAGCCAGTTTCTTTGCTAAAAAGACTGTTAAAGGAAAATTAACAGCATATGTAAAGGAACTGTTAACAGTATGTAATCATGCAAACACGGCAATAATTATCACCTCACAACTATGAGGTAATCATAGACCGCTCGTAAACAAGTAAAAGTGATCTAGCAGGAAGAGCTCGACTAAACTACAAGTCTCTTATAAATACGGGCCTTCGGACTGTGCCAAATCGATTCGGCTGTTCAAATTATTAAACCTAACAGTAATACTAATATCGCTAAGTAATATACAACCAATAGCAATGCATATACACAGCTTTCTATGGGAGATACTCATCGAAATATTGTTATCAAAATAATAATAAAAATAGTATTACATATAATGTTTTTCAAAGGACTAATTTAACTGCTATTAGGCTAGTCTCACCTAAAACATAATTATTTCTCCTCTCTTGATAGCTAATATTAGAGACATCGGAACAGCAAATGCAGGCAGCTAATTTAGACACAATTATGCATCAATTCGTTGCAGGTTTAAGCGTTGGCTCAGAGCCATTTAATTCGGGTAACGATTTTGTCATTATTTCTAAATATCTATTGTTGTTATTTTAGTGCAGGAAATACACTCACAGTTTAATTTTTCATTACATACGCTAAAGTACAATGCAGCGAATACGTAGATCCAGTCGAGCAATTCCGCATGCACAGACATACATATATTTAGACAATAGCCGCCTCGAGCGCTCTGAACTTGACTTCTAACACGATTACATTTTATTTATTTTTATTTTTTTTTTTTTGCAGTTACTCTTTCCTCTGAGCTACAGCGAAATGCTGGGCAAAGTTGATGTGGAGGCCAATGTGGAGGGCGGCGGTCCATCCGGTCAGGCGGGCGCCATTCGTTGGGGCATCGCCATGAGTTTGCGCAGCTTTGTTGATCAAGAGATGATTGAGTCAATGCGTTTGGGTAAGTGCAACTGCCGGCTAAAAAGCATTTAATTGTCGCCAATTACTTTTATATATCTACTATGTATTTATCCACGCAGCCGGCTTGTTGACACGTGACTATCGCCGGCGGGAGCGAAAGAAGTACGGACAGGAAGGCGCACGTCGCAAGTACACGTGGAAGAAGCGCTAAGCGGCAAACAACAAAGCGACGCTGAATTTCTACTCCTCAAATGTTCAATAAAAAAAAAACTATTTTATATTATATCAGAAATTTCTACTACATTTGGTTTAGAGGCTTCAGACCCAGCAGTTGCATGCCTTGCTGCAACGTTCGCTTGGCCGCACGGAAGAGCAGTAGACGTTGCGATTGCTTATCTGGACACTTCTCCTGCTTGACGGGCAACCGTTTCAGTGCGCGACTCGTTGCATTGCTGTAATTGTATGACAGTGAAGATTAAAGATTAGTTTAAGGCTCAACAATTTGCTCGAACACAGTCACGCACCACAAGCCGAACAGATAGTTGACTAATATATGAGCCTCCAACTGCTCCTTGGCCTGCCAGACACATTGGTCGAAGCGTGCCAGCTCGTAAAGCACAGCCAGCGCATCTGATGGCTCTTCAGTTAAATGCTTCCAGCTGGGCTTTATTTCTGACAGCTCAATGTCTCCGAAACGCTCTAGAAGATTGTGCAGCCGGCAGTGCGTGTATTGTAGCTTGATGCCTGTATCGCCATTAACCTGAAGTGCTTGCTGCCAGCTAAACTCATGATCCCTCTGCCGGCGCTGCTTCAGCACGTTCACAAGCACAGCCGACACTCCCAGAATATCGCAAACGTGTTCATCATTAAGTGTGCTATTAGCTTTAGTGGCTGCAAGTGGAAATTGAATAACAAAAGTGTAGACACAATAATTTTACACTTACTTGCGCTCGCAAAGCGCTTCTCCCTCATCACGTCACGCGCTTCGTTGAGCACATCACGGAGAAATACGGCTTTGCCCTGACGGGTGCTCATGCCAAGAATGCGCCCGAACTTCACATGCTGCAGTTTATCCTTTAAGCTTGCGTCCAGCGCTGTTGCTGTACTAAAGAGGGCATTGAAATGATCCGCCTGGCCATTATCGACAACATAGAGCATGCGCGTGAACTGCAGGCGCCTCTGGCGTTCCAACAGTGCTGCAATATCACGCGCCAGGTACAAGGTAGATCCATCGCTCTTTATGACAGGCACACGACGGTCATCCACAACAACAATCTCACGACCATCGTGCTCTCTTTGCAGTAGCCCCGCTAAACGTAACTGTGTGAGGACATCTCCGATGTCTCGTTGTGAGTACTGCGATTCCCACTCGTAGCTATCGAAATGCACTCCCAAACGGTCGTACACGCCTGTGAGCTCGTCTATGGTGTATTGCCGATATTTCTGCCATTCGCTGGACAAAGTTGGATCTGTGCCTGCTTCCAGCGCTGTGAACAATTCACGAGCTCGCTGAGCTAGTTGTGGATCCTCTGCGGCAGCTTTATTAGCCATGACATACGCGTTGTATAGCGATTCAATTGGTGTCTCGCGCATTTGGGTATCGCTAATATTCCCCAGTTGGACGCCAAGTGCTAGCAAGCCAAACTGGGTGCCCCAATCGCCCAGATAGTTGAGACGCGTCGTACGGTAGCCCAAATGCTGATGAAGATTTGCCAGCACATTACCTATGATAGTGGATCGCAGATGTCCCACATGGAAGGGCTTTGCTATATTTGGCGAGCTATACTCGACAACAACGTGCTCCTCTTGAAAGGCTGACGCCTTTGGTGCGACTGTGTCTGACTGAAGAAGCTGTTCTGTAAATGCATCGGGTTGAATCTTGAATTCCACTTTGGCCGCATTGCGACCATTTCGGGGTACCACACGAACTTCTTCAATAAATGTGGTATCAAACTGTTGTCTTTTTAAAGAGTCCAACAATTCATTTTCATGTTGTGCAACATCAGCCGGCAAAATCCACTGAAGCAGTGGTCTTGTAGCGGAACTGTTCTGCGCTTTAGAAGGCACTTCCAATGCATAATAAATATTTTTCAGTTGTGGCAGCTGTTTTAGATATAGAATTCAATTGAATATGTGCTTAAATAATTTATTTCATTGATTTACCTGCTCACAAATTGCGCGCCGTATCCCGCTGGTCATATTATTTATTGCACAGGGTGGCAGTGCCATAGGCAGTGTTGCAAAGTTGCTTACAGATATAATACCCACACACTGTACGACAAGCATTCAATTTGCCGGTAGATGTGGGCATATGTATAAAACGGATATTGCAGTAATTCTTTATTTGTATTTCTTTTTTAAATATTAACCTTTTTTATATTAGTACACAGTAAATCTATCAGATATAATGGAACTGGAGCTACTTTGTGCTCCTTATGTTCGTGTGTGAGCCCCATATCAGCTGTTTTCTGGGGCTGGACTGAATATTAGTTTTCTTTGCGTTCAGGCCTTTGTTTACACCAATTTAAAAAGCAAAATGCATACGGCTTATAGTGTGCAGTCAATACTAAAGCAGGGAGTTCAAATTGAAGCCATTACAGCATTTGGTAAGTAATTACCTATAACAAATAATATAGTATGATTATTTTAAAAACATTTCTACGACCAATAGGTAATCATGTCATTTTGGGCACCCGGAGCGGTCAGCTCATCATGTACTCGGTGGAAAATCAAACAGACGTCGATATGCGAATGTTCAATAAGAATTTCAGCAAGAAGCCTATTACACAAATGGAAGTGGTGGCTGCTGAAAATTTGTTATTTGTACTCACCGACAACATGATTCATGTGTGTGATGTAAGCCGGATCGAGAACAATTTCGAGTTTATGCATAGCTCTGCAGAAACTAAGGGGTGTACGTTATTCACAATGGATGTGGACACACGTAAGTCGATCACTGGTGAGGTGGCCACATTTATACGAATAGGCTGCGCTATCAAACGTCGATTGGTCTTGTTCTTCTGGAAGAAGGACAAGCTTGCTTCTCTGGAACTGGCCATTGAGCTCCTTGATGTACCCAAGGCAATGTGCTGGGTAAATCAGCTCATCTGTGTCGGTTACAAAGATGAATATATCTTATACGATGTAAGTGACGTCACTTGAATTAAAATCAATAATCTTTACACTCTATGTATTCTCCGATGCAAGATATCCTACAATCCACCGAAGATGCATAAGCTCATACTTACGTCGTCCACTATAAGCCAGGAGCCCAACATTTGTCTTATACGAAATAGTATGCTGGGCATATCCAAAGACAACTATCTAATGCTCATAGATATTGACCAATACAAAGCCACAGACAATAACGTCGACACTGGCATGAACAGAACTACATTGACGCGATGGTCAAGTCCGCTCCAGGCTCTAGGTAATTATATAATCTAAAACTTTACTATACGCACTAACCTGAGTTTTTTTTTTGCAGTTTGGGATGAGCCTTTTGCTGTTGGACGCACTAAAAATACGATCGAGGTGCGCAGCCTGGTGGGCAAGGACACTTTAGTTCAATCTATGCCGGAGCTAAAAAATACTCGATTTCTTGTTCGATCCGATAAGGGCATTATTTTCGCCGCCGCGTCATCTGAGCTGTGGTGTATACGGCTCGTGGACATTCAAATTCAGCGACAAGAATTATTGCAGCAAAAGAAATTCCAACTGGCAATTGAATTAACTGTAAGTTTACTTTAAATGTGTCTTGCACGAGTTACGCTAATATGGAATCCATTTCTAGGAAATTTCTGAAAGAGATGGCGTTGATAAAGCACAGATCATACGCCAAATACACATGTTGTATGCCAAAGAGCTCTTTACCAACAAAGAGTTTTCAGCAGCCATGAAAGAGTTTGAGAAAGCTGCCATTGATCCTTATGATGTGATACGCCTGTTCCCTAGCTTGGTCCCGGAGCCAAAAAACACTAGAGATGCTGCTGTTCCAGCATCCAGTGTACCGAAGTTAGAGGATCATGATCTTGAAAATGCGTACTTGGCGCTTATTGAATTTCTGGCGCAAGCCCGTCAACGAGAAGTGGTGAAGCTGCTCGACACCAAGAGCAGCTCAAAGTCCCTGCTGGAAATAATTGATACCACTCTGCTGAAGTGCTATCTGCAGACAAATGATGCGTTGGTTGCGCCTCTGCTGCGACTTAACCAATGCCACCTAGAGGAGTCTGAGAAAATGTTAAAGAAACACAACAAGCTTTCGGAGCTGATCATTCTCTACGATGGCAAGAAAAAGCATAGAAAGGCTCTGACACTGCTGAAGGAACAAGCGAATATTAAGGGTTCTGTATTGCAGGGACATAAACGCACGATAACTTATCTTCAGGCACTTGGCTCCGATAATCTGCCGTTAATTTTTGAATTTGCTGACTGGGTCTTGACTGAGAATCCGTTGGAAGGCTTAAGAATATTCACCGACGAGCTGATCGCCGTGGAGGCGCTGCCTCGTGCTAAAGTTCTTGACTTTCTGCTCAGCAAGCACAAGGCTCTCGTCATACCCTACCTCGAGCATATCATTTTCGAATGGAACGACACCAATACCCTGCGCCACAATGCACTTCTTAAGCAGTACAGCGAGCAGGTGCAACGCCTGCTGGCTCTGCAGGCCAAGGGGTAAGTAAGTCAGATAATTTCATATATACTAATATTGTAATTATTGTCTTATTAATTAATAGAGAAGAAACACCCGAGCTACAGCCCTTGCGCGCCAAGATGTACAAAATGCTGGAGGAGTCGCAACATTATTCGCCGGATCGCGTCTTGGATGATTTACCGACCACATCGTTGCTGGAGGAGCGAGCTCTTATTCTAGGTCGCCTCAAACAGCATGAGAAAGTGCTGGCCATATATATACAAGTCTTTGGGGATGTGGATAAAGCCAAAGCGTACGCAGAGGCGAACTACGAGGATGATGAAGAGGTGTTCAATACGCTACTCCTCATTATACTGAAGCCACCACAACAGCCACCTTATGAGGGCGTAACGTTGCATCCCGACTTTCTTAGACCCAACAAAAAAGTCGCACTGGACTTGCTCAATACATATACCATCAAAATTGAACCCACGAAGATTATCGAAGTAAGCGCCATTTAATTGCTGTTATCCCATAGCAATTTTGACTTACACTTATTCATTTGCTATTTCCAGTATCTGCCCGATGACATCTACATGCATGAGCTGAAAAATTATTTCGAGACGGTGGCTCGCATCCAAATGAACGAAAGCCACCAGCGTCAGATTATGTGCGGCCTGCTGAAAGCCGAAGCCGCTCGATTGCGAGCGTCTGTCGCCAAGGAGAAGAACAAGAGCTTCGAAATAAATGAGTCCACTCTGTGTCCCGAGTGCAGGAAACGCTTCACCAACCAAACGGCCTTTGTGCGCTTGCCAGATGGCCAGGTGGTGCATCTCTCCTGCTACGATAGAGTCGTCTCGGCGACAAAACAATAACTTTAATGTGTGATATTATTTTTATAGATATATTATTCGACAAGTGCTAAGCAAGCGTAGTTCTTGTAATTATAAATGTATATTAAACTATGGAGAAACGGTTTACTTCTAATAAATATATACAACTATATTTAAATAAGGATTTAGTGCGTATTAAACAGATTTATTTTACTATATTTACATATTTGTCTGCACGGATTGCTTATGCCTCCTCACTGCCGTCCATAAGACTATCGCCGTCTAGGTCCAGGGAGTCATTGCATATGGATAAATCGGATTCAGAGGCTGCTCGACTCAGGGGACGTAGCGGCAGCGTTAGCGACTGTTTGCTGTCCTCATTGTCCTCTTCTAGCAGGCTCGGCGAGGCTGTGCTGCAGCCGGCGTTCAGGGGCAGCTCCACGGAAGACGTGGTGTTCGTCGATGCTGGCACCGCCGTCACTCCTCCACCTGGCAGTTGAGTTTGCCTAATCAGTGCCAGACGCTGTTGGGTCAGCTCCAAGTGATGCTTGCGCCATTTGATGCGACGGTTCTGGAACCACACCTTCACCTGGGCCTCCGTCAGCTTGAGTGTGTGCGCCAGGTATAGACGTTCCGGTCCCACCATGTATTGCTGGCGCTCAAACTCCGCCTCCAGGCACTCCAGCTGCTCTGGTGTAAAGATAGTTCTTACGCGCTTATTCTTCAGTCCGCTTTTCTTCTGCGAGTCTGTGAAGACAATTAAAGAGCAAAAAATCTATTCTTAATATAAAGCTAATCTCTAATGCTAGGCTCCACTTACCCGACTTGAGCTTTTCACGTTGGAAGCTAAGCGACGCCTGCTGCGCGTGATGCTGGTGGAGCTGTTGCAAGCTCTGCAGTGCGGAGGGCGCTCCACTGACGGCGGCGGCGACAACAGCGGCAGCAGCGAAATTAGCCCGCTGCTGGGAGTGGGAGTGGGTGTGGGGATGCGGGAGAGTATGTTGCACTGCGGGCAGGTAGCGACTGCCGCTGCTATCACAATTGAAGTTATTTACACTTTGGCCATTGTTGTTGTTATTGTTGTTGCTTGTGCCATAGCTAGTGCTGCTGTTGTTGTTGTTGTTGTTGTTGCTATTGCTGTTGCTGTTGGCACTGTTGCTATTGTAGCATTTGCTGTTATTGTTATCCTGGTCGAGAGCATCCGCACCAGCAGCGCCTCCACCTGTGCCCGCTGCTGACGTGCCGCCATTGAGCGACAGATTAATGGCATTATTATACTCCTTGCTCTGCTGTTGCAGACCCAAAATGGCGGCTATTGTAAACGACTTGCCCACATCGAGGGAGGTATGCGCCGCGGCCGCCTCAACGAGCTGCGCGTGCGACGTCGCAGTCGCCAGCTGCTCCCTGTGGTGGTTGTGTGTGTGCGTGTGCGATTGTGCCTGTGTGGGTGTTGGGAGGCCAATGGGAAGTTGCTGTTGCTGCTGCTGTTGTTGTTGTTGTTGTTGTTGCTGCTGCTGTTGTTGTTGTTGCTGCTGCTGCTGCTGTTGGTGCGACTGCAGCTCCATTTGATACGAACTTTGACCCGCTGCCGTCACTGCAGCTGCCGCGGCTGCTGCTGCTAACGCCGCCGTTGGCAGTGTATGATGCGGTTGCAGCTGTCCATGCCCGTGTCCCTGTCCGTGTCCGTGTCCATGTCCATGTCCAAGTCTGTGTGCATGTGCGTGTGCCACGCTGCTGGCTTGTGTGTTATGCAATGCCAGGAAGTGTGACAAGGGATTTGCGTGATATTTGGAAGGATTCTGCAACATGCTTAGTATTTGGCACAAGTCGACGACGGCAATTCCGAGCTGTTCACCTCCGTCTCACTTGTTGGTCAGCTGAAAAATGCCAAGAGCAGTGTTAAATGTTAAATTGTCGCCACCTTGGCTATCCGCATGGCATTCAGGTGTCAACGACTGCAATTGCCACTGCAATTGTCTTCAGCTCTGATTATGCCCACAATTAAGTGGCACTTGGCCAACCACAACCAAAGCGGCCAGCGCGTGTAATCTGAGCTGCTTGAAGTGAAAAGGGAATTGCTGGCACAAGAGCCAACGGCGGGGATCATCATTCAAGTACACATTGCCTTAACCAAAGTCCAGAATCTTCAGCTTAGCCAAACAATTGACCCTGCAATGAATGGTGGCCAGCAGCAACTGGTTGATACAACGGCAAATGACCGCAGACCACTACACACACATGCACACGGACAAAGCCGTACGCATACACACACACACGCATACATACAGTCAGTTGCATAGTGAGTGCATTCATTGCACTTAATTGCAATGCTTTTCTCCTCCTCTCATTCACGCTCTATCTATCTCAGTCCCTCTCCTACTCTCTCGCTCTCTCTCTCTCTCTCTTTTAGGTTATCTGTCTGTCTCGCTCTGTGCATCTGTCCTGCTCAGCTATTGTCGCTGTCCCTGCTAGCAATTTGATAGCCTAATTGAGACTTTGTCACAGTTTGCTGCTTAATTGTTGGCATTGCTGTTGCTGTTGCTCTTGCTGTTGTTGTTGGACAGGTGCTTTAATATCCATCTGATAGCCAGACAGTTTCAGATGTATCTGTATATACATACATATATGGAGACAAATGCAAGTGCAAATTTACACATATAAATAAATGTTATATACAGACGTGGTCAAGTTGTGTGGCTTATATTGAATAAATTAGGTTCATTAAGGCGTCTAATACAAATAACTGTGGATAGCTCAGCTCAGCAGAACACCCAGACAGAGCGTGCAAACTTTGGCTTGTAAATTTAATACAAGCTACAATATTTAATAATTAAAATTAAAAAATATAAATGTAAACTTATAGAAGCTATTGGCAAAAGTACAATAAATTAATTAAATATTTCGTTGCATTTTATAATGACAAATAAATAATAATAAATAAATGCGAACTCTTATTCAATCAATCTTAAGCAATCTTGCAAATTTATTAAAATGAAAGTAAATCAAAACTAAGGCAACTTTTGTAGATTAAAAATTTATATTATTTACACATTTTATAGTCAAACTAAAGTAGAAAAGGAAATTGTACTATTTTATAATTTGAAAAAGAGAAAATTACTTTATTTCCAATTTCAATCTATTGATTTGTTATTTGTTAATGTAAAAATTTATTACATATGTATATGTATGTATTTTTAAATATATTTCTCAATATAATAAAAATACAATTTTGTAATAATAAATTATTTCAATATTATCACCGGTATATTTTCAGTATACTCGCGCATTGAAATATAAAAACAGAGATTTTCTTTTTTTTTTTTCTGTTATCTTAAATTCATGATGATTTGAGTCAACTGATGTATCGTTAAAGATCTATCATTAAGACTCTCTTTTGAAGCACGCGCTGATATTAAACTCTATATTATTATTTAGATAAATTCTTCAACGTTCGCATTCAGCGCATTCTTTTCTAAAATTAAAGCATTAAAGTGAAGTATTATAAAACAGCAAGACTGAATTTAACAATAAATGTAAGTAAGGAATAAGGTATGAAAAAAAGTAAATCGACAATGCGTTTAATACTATTAGAACTGATATACATGTATATAATACTACAAGAAGTTTTAAAATACGTAATTGTTAAAGTTAATCAAAACTAAAAAAAAAAAAAAAAAAAAAAAAAAAAAAAAAAAAAAAAAAAAAAAAAAA